AATTTCCATTTACTTTAGTTCCCTAAATTTTATCCATAAGCAGATCTTCTCTAACAGGCCCTGTATGTGGGTTGTATATGCGCTGAAGGAGTGTGTGTGCACAGATACCCACATAGGCACATCTACAACTATTGTTAAACATCGAAAGTTACGTCCTGGATTTTGATTTTATTACTATCACCATACTTCATCATCTTACAGTAACATGGTTAACGGAAGAATTAACAAGAATTAACACTGATCAAACCCATTTACTTAGCTTTGGACAYCTTTTAAGAAGGCAAGAAGAATAGTAAGCAAACCACTCTTTATTACTAGATTGTAAGGTGTCTCCCATGAACAATAGTTTTCCTGAGTTAGGACAGTAGATTAAATTCTCCCTCTACAACAAGAGGATGAARGCAATGAGCCTCAGTGGACCGAACAACCCCACTGAAAGGAGTGTGCAGGTTAATTTACAGAGAGAACTCCTGGGTACAGAGGCCATGGTCTTCTTCCTTGATGGCTCTGCCTGTGTAATGATAATGTCATTTAATAGATTGCTGGATTGTGAAATTCACAGTTTAAATGTGCATAAGTTTTAATGATGACATCCTAATTTCTGCAAATTGAAAATATAATGTCCATTTGTATCTTTTCATTAGAAATTGTTCCTCAGTCAACAAAAATGCATTGTGTTTCTTATCTTCTTCAAGGAAAACATCCATGTCTGCCTTTAAATCAATTACTGATATAAAAAGATGATTTTCTTTTTTCATAAACTCTATCAGAAAATTCTGACCTCATTGATGATCCTAAAAGGACAGATCATTCAAGTCCTATTTCTGTCAGCCTAGTTATAAATAAACCAACCCACAATGCAGGCATCAGAGTAGTTTCTTTCTGGTAGCAATACACTGCTTTTTTTTTCTTTTATTATATGCTCTATGATTCCTCTTTCCTGATGCTAATAGTAAATGCTGAAATATTCTATGTAAGTGGTTGTTGAGCTGGAAAAAGAAAGAAACTCTTAATAGAAGTATTTATACCTTCAGCAATGAAAACAAGATATTATTGTCTTGCATGACCTTTCCTAAGTACAGGATACAGCATTTTACACAATAGTTTCTTGGTTCATGCTTCAATTACTGACCTTTACTGTGTAGAAAATTAATGCAATTTTCATTGTAATCCATCCGTACAAATAAGGTCCACACGGAAGGATTCCACATATGGAATCTAATACAAATAGGAAATGTCAACTGATTGCTGTTGGCTGAACTTAGCCATTATCTGTTTGTTCTGGGGTCCCTTGCAAACTACACTTGCAACAAGCAATTTCTTACATGGGCCATCAGGTATAAGAAAGGAGGATTTCCTCTCTTTAAAGTTTAGCTTGTATGCTTCACTTCCTGAAAGCCAAAAATCGAGTTACCTGAAACTTCTATGCTCTCATTGAAAGTTCGCRAACGCGAAAGAAAAGGCAAAATTGTCCAGTCTAATCTGGTTTCTAATACAGATCACCATCAAGCGCTTTTAACAATAAGAAGGAGCAAGAGGCTACAGTGATGTCATTTTGCAACAATCCCTATTCCAGACAATAAAAGTATGACAGACCCCAGACCATGTCCTGGTCTGTGCATCCAAGACAGGCAGAAGATGAGAGTGCATTCATCTCCTGAGGAAGTTGGGCCAAGGGGCCCAGGCAGCCTTTCATCTTTCACAGTCATCTGTGATGGTATGTGGTGGGAAGGGGTGCTGGTAATTAAGGAGTGTCACTTTTAAGATGGATGGTTTGGGTAGAAAGGAGTTTCTCCCCTCTTCTGGTTCTGTAAGAAATGGCTGTGTGTTTATAATTTGTAAACAGTTCCTCTTGGCATGGGTGTGTTACAGTTCCCAGAAGCACAGTCTGTCACATCTAACACACAACAGAAGCCAGAAGGGCTCAGTGGGGAAGACCTCTCTGACAGTCCACTGTGGTGGGGAGTCGCCTAGTCACTGTGTATCCATGTCTACGATGAACACATGTCAGTGGTGGAGGCTGCTGTACATGGAGAAGAAGTGACACTTTGCACACCCGCAGGATGTGCACTTGAGGAGCCTCCATGTTGAATACCYCTTTAGTTCAACAGATTTACAAGAGAAGGTAGTGTGAAAAGAAATGAACAAGGACTAGGAAGCTTGCCATTCTCCCCAGCTATTGAAAGGTATGTTAAGCAGAAGAGGCATAAACAGAGGTTGAATTATTTTATACTCATTCTTTAGAGGATTTTATAGAAATATAAAACTGAAGAAGTAAAACTGCCATGGTTTTGCATTACCTATTAAAAGGCCCTATTTGAGCCAGGTGCATGCCCATAATCCCAGCAGCTCAGGAGGCTGAGGCAGGAGGATCTCAAGTTCAAAGTCAGACTCAGCAACTTAGCAAGGCCCTAAGCAACTCAGTGAGACCTTGTCTCTAAATAAAAAGGGCTGCAGCTATGGCTCAGTGATTGAGTGCTCCTAATTCAATTCTCAGTACAAAAAAAAAGGCACTATTGAAATACTATAATAAAAACATGTCAAGAATGAAATTGCCCTGGAGGGAGTGAGGAGAGCCCTGCTGCCACCCCTTTCACCATGGGACAAGTTGATGCTACTGTCATGAGCAGGGCCATGCTGGGATGGATGAACCCATGCCAGGGTGCTGCCATTCACACTCTCTCCTCTGTCATCCTTGCCCAGAAAGACTTGAAACACATTCACATAACTCTGCCTGCAAACATCCAGGTAGTCTGAGGCAACTCAGTGGAAGATTAGACCTTGACAACCAATAATCTACACTTCATGGCCTAATTTTGTTGCTTGCCCTTTGCCAAACAATACTTTTCCATTCCTAGTCTTCTTGTTGGAAGCTCTTCTGCTTCAGATGGTCAGATGGGCCAAAGACATCTGGTCCAAATGACCTCTAAAGGGTGGGCAGGCAGGGCCTTATTCCTGGGGTGACTCATTTAAATAGACTTGGTCAAATAGAAAAAAAAATTTTTTTCCTCTCTTTTGAGCTTTGGTTTATGAAAATTTAGAATTTTGCCAAGTGTGATATTGTGATATAATAAGAAATATATATTTGGTATTTGTTCCTGGCTCCTGGCCAGAGCTCCTAAAACTCTTGGAACTGCCTAAGTGATAAGAGTGGTAGGAGTATGTTTTGTTATATTTGGTTTTGTCTCCAGGTCCTGAAATAGCTGCAGATGTAGAAAGGTGAAAGGAGAATTTTTTTGTTGTTCATTAAAAAAAAAAAAATGTCCATCACACCTAAGTTTAAGTTAACGAGACAATGTGTTTAAAAATCCCCTAAGGATGGGAGCTGGTTGCTAGAGGAATCCACCATGTGATTGGAGGATTGGAACTCAAAGGCCCACCTTTTCCAGACCACCTAGCCTCCAGAAAGAGGGAAAGAACTGGACATGGACTTAATTACAGTGGTCAGTGATTTAATCATCCATGCTGACTTAAGGAAGCCTCCAGAAAAACAACCACTAAAGTAAAAAAAAAAAAAACAAAAAAAAAAAAACAACTATGTCAGGAGGCTTCTGTGGTGTTGAATATGTGCAGGAGCCAGGATCATGCAGTGCCTAGAGAGAGCAAAGAAGGACCACACCCCAGCCCCAATCTTCCTCTGTATGTCTCTTCCAATTAGCTGTTCCTGAGTTGCATCTTTTACCACAAACCAGAAGTGTAAGTAAATGTTTTCTTGCATTTTATGAGCTATTCTAGCAAATTTTTAAACCCAAGGGAGGGGCTGTGGGAACCCATAATTCATAGCTGGCTGGTAGAAAAACTGTAGGCCCAGACTTGCAACTGGTACAGTGTATAGGTTTATAACTAATTCATTAATACTGGTTATTTTCTTTTACCAAACATCCCTTATGCACTTTAGCCAGGCAACTAATATTCAATGATGGTCACATGGTAAACCCTCCCATCAATGCATCAGGATAAAAGGTGAATCTGTGGGACCTCTAACCTGAAAAAGGAGGATTTCCTTTTCATAAATATTATACTTTATTATTTTGCTATTAACGATCTTCTTAGCACAACAAATACAACTTACTTTGTAACCCACCCCATTTGCCTTAAATGGGCRAAACCATCTGGTCCACTCAATTAATTTTCAGGCTCTTTGTGTCATGGAGCCAGTATCTTTGAATTAATTTYTATTCAATGGGCATTTATATTGCACACTTACTCTTCAGGTTCTCCCTTTTGCCCTTTCCTCTCCCAGAAGCCTCCTCCATTCTACCATCCCTGGCCCCATATACCCACAGGTTTTAGGGGACTGGAAGTCCATTAAGCTTGAAGCATCTCATTTGGCACTTCCCTTTTTTCATTTTATTCCAGAAGGTTTGTCTGAAAGTGTAATGACAACAAAAGCAGCAGATTTGAGAGATTCTCCCAGGAGAAGTAAAAGGACAGATGTACACAGACATATAGCTGAAAACGCTGCCAGCAACAGCTGGGAAACTGACAGGCTCGGAAGTGGGTGACCACCCCACAGCGCGCCGACGTGAACCTAAAGGAGCAGCAATTTCACTTGATTTCCTTTTGACTTCCCAGGCTACCTTTTATCTACAAAGGGGAGGGCTAACCTTGGCTTTCGTCCAGAGAGCAGACTCCGATCGGTATGCTGTTTAGAATATTTCAGTTATTCCTGACGTTATATCCCCTTTGAATCTTATTATGTGAAATCTTAGGACCCAAATATCGCACTATACCCATAAAGGTGTACAAATATTACCTGTCAATTTGCAAGACAGGAAAGGCAACTGCTACTCCTAATCCATTTGGGTAAAGAGTCAAATAGAGGATTGTAACTGTTCCATTTTTAATACAGGAGATCCTGGATTTTTTTTAAAAAAACATTTTAATATTATTGTATCATTTAATTTATAGTATTAAAGAACCAAAAAGATGCAACCTGGCGGGGCAAATCTGCTGCCCCCATTCATGTCCCTGTCCAGCTGTTTCCTTAGAAGACTCACCCTCTCTTCCTCCTCTTCCTCCTCCTCCACGTCCGTGCTCTCCTGAAACAAAACCCCACAATTTGTTAATTAAGCCTCAACCATAATCATCCAAAGAAACTGAATTGCATATACATTTTAAATTTTGTCTACAGAATTCAAACATTAGTATTTTTWAAATTTATTACTAAAGTCTTGAAAATGCCATTTAAAAAATTGAGGGACACCACAGCAAGACCACAAATGATAGGCATCACCATCTCCATAGAACAATTARTGTTTAAAAAAAAAAAAAGCTACAAGGAGAGCGCCCTTTGAAGGCATCCAGCTTCACAAATACATTGCTGACTTTCACTCTTCTGTAAACAGTTTCGTTCTCATTCTGACAAATGAACCAACTGCTCTGTTAAGGCTGAGAATACCGTATTCCGTTTGTGCTGGGCTCATGGTTATAAGGACTCCTCTTTCCCTTTGGGGTCATTACTGAAACATTAGACAGTAGAAAATGCATTTGTCTGAATATAATACATCTTAAGGATAAGTTACAGTTTCTATGTGGCTTTATTGTTTTCCTTGGGCTCTGAGGTTGGGAGAAGCAGGTGAGGGAAGAAAATCCAGGGCTCTGGTGTGGACTCGTCCACTTCAGCTCAGGTGCAAAATATGGTGCTGCCAATGGGCTCATTCAGATCTCTTTGGGAGTCTTGGCTATTTAATAGGTGAATTTTTAATCATATCACTACAGTGTCTAAAAACACATATAAATGCATACACAATCAAATGAATTAAACAGCTCAGAAAGAAATGCTCAGTATTAACCAACTAATAATTAATATTAGGGTCAATTTTCAGCTTGAACACTTACCTGGTTGCTTAACTGTGCAAAGGTCAGGCGTACTATTTAGTATCACTCCAGCAGTTCAAAAAATTGTCAGTAGTATGCTAAGTTAAATGATTAGATCCAGAGTACTCTGCTATAGTACACAAAACCACTGAGTGGCCATCAAGAAATTTCTCCAGAGCTGGTACAGAATTCTCATGATCTTCAGCTGGCAGTATGGGACATTCACTGACCCTCGCAGGACCTGACCTGTTTACCATTGGCAGTAAACATGTTTCATGCAAGCTGATAGATAAGTAAGAATGCTATGAAACTGGGTTATGAGAGGGAAAAGCGAGCGTAATTTGGGAAGTTGTAAGTCTTCAGCTTGAGTCACTGTCTAGCACATTTTTGCTCTGTGACTTTAGGGAAATTGTTTTGCCACTCTGAACTGTAGTTTCAGCAAGCATAAAATGAAAAGAGTACCTCTTCCACTCTTATGCTTTACTATACAGATCAATGAATTTGAATGTTTTATATGCAGAAAAGGCATTATATACACACTTAGATTCATACATATGCAAGTTTATTTACACACATGCATATGTACACACATGCACATATAGATACTACAAACACACATCATGCATGTTGTGGGCCAAATGAAATCTGATTAAACATTTTAAAAGTGTCAGTTGATCACATTTTTTATGACAGATGTTTTTCTGTTAATTTCCCTCATTTATATAGCTCAGTAAAACACTGTCTTTCAATGGATCTAAACTTTAAACCCATTTATTTATTTGGTTTCATTATCTTATTGTTATAAATCTTACTGTTATAAATCTATCTATTGCATTAAATAATCAAAAATGAACAGAAAAGAATTTTGAAAGTGCCTGAGGTTTTACCTCTTACTACAATATTCATTTTCTCCACCTTCCCTCCATCCTAAATGAAACCAGAAATATCCCATAAACGTTCATGGTTTCAAAGACAAATTTTTTAAGTGAGAACGTAAGAAAACATATGTAACAATGGTTAGCTTTGAGTCTTGGGAAACCCCAGGTGTAAGTAATCACTTTCTAAAGGAAATGATCAAGTCAAAAACTTTGGGTTTCTGTTTTTTTAAACCTGGTTCTTGATCAAGGAATAGCAAGATTCATCCTAAAGCTAGGCTATAAATACAAGTTTCTGCATGCTGGAGCACAAAAATATTCTTTGGGCCTAGATGAGGGGAGCTGAGGCAGGAGAGTCAGAAAGGAAGCAAGATATGTATGTGCTAAAGGGATGCCCAGGAGAAGGGCCCTTGTCTGGTCTTCCTTCTACATGACAGAAAATGAGAGAATTACAAAAAAAAAAAAAATTAAGTAAAAACTAATTTGGTCACCTGAGAACAGAAGAATCTACGTCCACCTGCTTTTACTCTGATTGCCCTGGGAGTTGACAAGCTTCAGAGAATCCTCTGATTCTTCTGACCAAAGGAGAACATTGTGTGGGCTGCCCATATGGAAAGGTCTGAGTCAGCTCCCTGGAGTGTCCCACAAGACCTGAAGGGGGTCAGGAATCCACCAAAGGTTTTTCTCTAGTGGTTGAGGAAATTGTTCCCAGGAACCTTATGGCGAACTGGATGGGTGCACACAAGTACTGCCCACATGAAAAAAAGACCAGCAACAACAGGGCTCCAGTCATACAGAGGTTGTAGGCTGAGACAGGAACACAGTTAACACAGCTGCCACCGAGGGAAGACAAAGACCTCCATTGCGAAATAGGTATGTGTGCAGGGATGCTCCCCAGGTCCCAACCAAAACAGATTCGGGGAGTGATTTGGTGGTAGTTGTTGTTTCCTATTGTGAGCACATTTTCCACAAATCACGTGCCAGAACTATGTCCATTTTTGCTCACCTGGCTGTCGTGCATGCTGCTCATTTTGCCTTTCATGGGTCTGATGAAATTGTAGACAAAGAGCAACAATAATGCCAGGGGGATCATGTACAGTTCAAAATTCCAGACTGTGACCAAAAATACCTGATAGGGAGACAAAGAACACAGGGTGACTGATAAAACAGTAGGAGCATAATCTTAAATCCTTACTCATTGACTTAAGATTAAACAATCTAGGAACATAAACAGGTGTAAACACATACAAGTTCACATGCAATTAACTCAGTTTTAGAAACAGTAGCAGAATAAGAGCACAGAATGACTTGGCCAGTGAAAACACTGAAGCAGACAAATACAGGGACCTCACCCTATTCTATATTTTGGCACCTCGATTTTAGTGTGTCTGAATTTAGGGAAAACAGTCTGGAAAAATCCAAGGTCACAAAAAGGCAGGCCATGGAACACATTCTACCAACAGTGAAATTTATTTGACTAGAGAAATCGATTACTTCCGAAATCCATCCCAAATATTTACAAATCCAAGTATTTCAGACAAAATCTTCAGATTTCCAAATATTCATTAAAGTTCTGCTGATTTGGGGACTGTAGGGTTACAGGAAAATGACTAGTTAGCACTGTCTAGATCAGACAAAGCACACACTGACATGCCCAAGTTCAATCAACTTATGGAATTCACATCCTCTACTGCAGAAGAAAAAGTGGGGTTTGAACACAAGGGCCAGTGCTTCAGTGAATGCAAGAGCATGGATGCAGACAGGAAGAGCTCTGCCTCTAAGGAACACACTAATCAGGATGAACAGACTAGAACACCTGATGAGTGTCACAGGCAGCAGGAGTGAAATCCTGGGCAAGTTACTTCCAAACTCGAGCCTCACTTTCTTTTTTAAACTCACAGGTAGTCTAGTTGATGAGATAATTATTTTTATGAGCAGCCAGCAAGAAAAACTCACTTTGTGACCTATTAACTTAGAAAGGACAAGTTACTGCCTCTTAAATATTAAATCTACCCTTCCAATAATAATATGGTTTTATTGCTGGATGCTTTTCTAACTTTTAAAAGAATTATTTTTATGTAGCTATTATATATTTCTTGCTTGTTTTATTTTTGGAGGCTAGGTAAATAAAATCATTTCTTTCATAATATTTTTTGAAACTAGCCATGGTTAGCATATATAAGGTAATAATTTGAATAAATTAGTTTTTTTTTTTAGATTTGCCCCCTTGCTAAGTTTTCTTTATTGTTTCAAATGGCTTTCTATTTCATTCTTCTGGGGGTTTCTAAGATTATAGTCACAAACTATTGGACCAATATGGAATCTTTTCTGTTTTTACTAATATTCAAATCTTAATTTTTTCTTGTTTAAAGTCATTACTCCTACAAAACAATGTCAAAACTGCTGAGAAGGATGTTATTGTGTGATTCCTAACTGTAATGAAAATTCTTCTAGTGTCTCATTTTTCTATTAAACATGAGGTTGGCTTCAGTTTGAATTATGTAAGTCATATCACATTAACAATACAAATACATACAATTAGTACCAGAAAATTCACACAACAGTATTGATTTTACTACTCTTGATCTCTTTTAGCTATTTTTAAAAATACTGTTTTGTATCCATCCCAAAATTAATAAAAACATTTCTTTAAGTAGGAATACTGTATCAGTTCTAGCCAGGGCTTATTTCACTATTATTATTTTCAAAATCAGGAATAGATGGTGGTTGTTCAACTGTTTTATTTTTATGTCTTCTGAAAGAAGGAGGATTTTTACTTTTCATTTTAATACAATATAATGTATTCATTATAATGTTGAAGCCACTCTCATATTTTTTKGGGGAAACCCATTCTTTACTGGGGTATGACAGTCTTTTAACACATGGTGTATCTTATTTAATAATGCTCAAAATATTTTTCATATATACCTATGATTTTCATTTATCTATTACTTTATCTTTGTATTAAATCTAAGTTTTAGTGCTAGGATTATCTGTACATTGTATAAAATTTCAGTCTATCCTTTCTCTATGCTACAGATAATATTTGTTATTATATTGCAAGATTAAAAAATGCAAACTATTTAATACCACCCATGCATTAACACTTACTACTGTGCTTGCTGTCATCATTTACTTATTATTCTTCCTTAAAAAAATGTCAAATACTTGGCTCCTAACTAACCTAGTCTTCTCATCCACGAACATGACATTTCTTAAAATTTATAAATCTATAAACCATATCAAAACATTCATATCAATTTACAATTAACTGTTTTATAGCTGTGTTGATGGTATATACATAAGTCAAGTACATTATATTTAACTGATACAGTTCCCCATTCAAATGAGTGTTATGAATTTCATATATGTATGCTCTCTTATCAATGGAAACCTAGATTGAAACTTTTATCTAGTCAAACACGTTAACTTCAAGACTGGCACCTTCAATGTTCTGTACTCTACTTAAGGAATGTTCTGTACTCTACTATTTGACCTTAAGATGATAAAGCTTTGTGTTGTGTCTTCTTCTAAAAGATAAAGTGCATGTGATCTTTCTTCAATTTTCCTTCTTATAATTAGAATCAAGCATCCAATTTAAAGTTTTTTTTTTTTTACTCCTAGTCAACTTTTACAACTAACTTCCTTATAATGACCCATACGTTTTTCACTGATCTACATTGACATTTCTGCTCAGGATAGCTGAAGAAGTCTTAATAGCTATGTCAGCATGAAATAGTTAGTTTAAGAAAACCATTTGAGAAAACATTTTAACAAATATAACAGGAAATCTATACTTACATATCCCTCTGTGGATCATGACTTTTCATTTAGATCAAATGACTGTTCTTCTACATTAATTTGTCTTCTTTAGCACGACTTCACTCCGGCGTATTCCCTCCCTCACCCCATCCCAAGTAGTCTCATATCTTTCTGTACTAGTTCACCCTCCAGCATAAATTCATTATTCATCTTTCTTTTGACCCTTATTTGCTAAGCACTGACTGTGGACCATATCAATTTGGACAAGAGTGAAGAAAAGAAAAGAGAAAGAAATATAAAAATACACAAAAACCAGACTTCATGGAGCTTATATTGAGATTTTGGATAATACATATAGAATAACTAGGTAAGCTATATATTTTATATCAGGTGATAAAAAGAGCTACCATGAAACAAAATGAAATCAAACAAAAACAAAAGTAAAAGGACATGAATACCACCCACTGGGGCTGATTCTACAATTATAAGCAGGTGGTCAGGGAAGGCCTTGCTTGGAGGGTGACATGAGAGCCAAGCCCTTGGTGGAAGTGTGTGTGTCARGTGAAGGGTGTTTCCAGCTAGAAGTAACAGCAAGCACCAAGGCTGGGAAGTGGAAGGATGCCATTTTCTTTCTAGAGTGTTCAAGGAACAGCAATGAACCCTTGTGTCTGAAGCGTAAGACACAATGCAAACTTAGATTGAGAATGTTATGAGCACAATAATAATGTGATCTGACTTGTATCTAAGAAGGAACACTGACTGCATGAGGAGGAAAAAATAAAAATAAATTTTATGAACAAATATTTTAATGACCCATTTTAATGAGTTTATTGTAGCTTAGAACCACAATAATGGCAAGAAAATTGATAAGAAGTGGTCATGTCAATTGTTGATAAAGTAGGGCCCAGATGACATGCAGATCGTTTGGATGAGAAGATAAAAATGGAATGTGTGAGGATACCAAGATGTGGGGCCTCAAAAGTTGTAAGAATGGATCTATTCATTAGCAGAGAAAGTCTGAGGAAGAGTGAGTTTAAGGAGAGGGATGGGAGGTGTCCCTATGAAAACAAAGATGACACAGGATACATGGTTTGGAGCTCAGGCTAGAGGCTAGGGCTAGAGACAAAAATTTATGTATTATCAGTATCCAGATAGTATTTAAAGACATCAGATTGAAAAATCTTAGCAAGCAAGCAAGCAACTATAGAGAGAAATGGCCTAGAAGTGATCCTTGGTCCAAATTTAGAGATTGAAACTACCAGAAGGGATCAGAGAAAGATGCTGAGGAGCAGCCAGAGAGAGAGGGATACAGGAGGAGATGGTGGTGTTCTGTAAATCAAATATAGTAGTTTAAAAAACCAAAGTATTTCTCTGAGTAAGATGATCCCTGACTCAATATTAAGGGATAATACTGAGATATGCAGTAAGGACTCTGCCAAAGAGTTTGTTATAAAGGAGAGCAAAAAAAGCAAAAAAAAAAAATAAAAAATAAAAAATAAAAAGTGCCTGCAAGAGAATGAAGCAATGTTCTAGGAAAGAGAGGGACAGAAGAGCAAGAAAAAAAAAAAGGTAGACAAAGAGAGAAAAGACAAAGGGAGAAAAATTGGAGGAGGAGGGAGTTAGGAAGGGAAAATGATTTGGAAGAAAGAAGAAAATCTTTGGGACAATATTCTTAAAACAGTAAAAACAATGGGACCCAGCAGAAAGTTGTAAGTTTGGTCTCAGCAACAAATCAGATCATCCACAGTTAAGAGAGAAAGCAGAGGACTCCAGCAGAGAGGGTGATGAGGGATAGAGAAGGAGCCAGTAGGGTAGCAGGGGGTCATTTATGTCAATCTTGGTCATTGAGAGTGGAGATGAGAGAAGATATTAAGTTTGAGAGGTAAAGAGAAGCAACAAAATAGTCCAGAAAAGTAGAAAGATTATTGTAGAAATATAATAGAACTGTCAGGGGCATTAAATATGGTTTTCTAGATCCATGCTTACCTAAGATTTTGCTAATTTAATATGTGCTAAATTATTGGGCAGGAGCGTCGTAAAGGAGAGGGGATAAATTTAAACACACAGGATGTACAAATTGATAGAAACTAAAGGGAATTGAACAGAAAATTAGCAAATTGAGAGAGAATTCCAAAGAAATGATTCAGAATGCAGACAAGAGACAAAAAAGATATATGAGAGGTCAAGAGACATGGAAGACAGAAACGGGGTGTTCTAATTTATGTTTTATAAGGGTTCAGGGTGGGGATAGACTATTCATGTGAGAAAGAGGGAAAAACATTACATGAAAATAAAATGCTCTAAAATTTCTGATAAATGTTGAAAGACACTAAGAAAGGAAGCTCTCCCCCACTTAATACTATCCTT